TCGTCACTCCTGCAGGATGGGTCTCTCCCCACTGGACTGTAAGCTCCTTGAAGGCACTGCCTGGGGCTGGCTTGATAGCTGCTGTTTCACCATTATTGCCTAGCACAAGGCCATGCACAGAGCAGATGCTCAGAAAATATCAACTAAATGAGTAATGTATGTTTGAACGTATTAATGGTAGTTCGCTGACCCAGCAAATTACATTAAATTTCTTTATTTAATGCTCCCACAAGCCTATAACACACAGATCATCTTTTTAAAGTAGCTTATATTTTGAGCGTTTACTATGCCCCTCATATCTCAGTTCAGGTGGCCATCCTCTAGACAGCCTTTCTGACCCCAAGCACCTGGATCAGAGGCCTCTCTGAGCTCTGGAATTCCCACCACTCTGGGTTGACATGACGGATCACGTGTATGTCTCCCAGTGCCCAACAGTAAGCCAGCACGGTCTGTCTACTGAAAGAAATGGACGAACAAACACGGTTAATGAACAGACGGATGAATACCCACTCAGGTCACAATCACTCCTTTGCCAGATTCGCAGACCACGTCCCCAGACTCTAGACTTCGCCCCCGAGCCACGTCCGTAGCCCAGACCTATTTCCCGGAGTTAAGTTGGGGCAAACCGATGTCTTAAACGTACATGTCCCAGAAGGGGAGAGAAACGAAGCACAAAGTGGAGTTTTGGAAGCGAAGCCGCTTCCAAAGGATGGCCAAAAGACAGCGGCGGTTCTCTCCTCGGCCCCGCCCCTACCCCCGGTACTGGAATATCCCGCCCAAATTACTCAAGTCCCCAACACTATTGGCTCGCCTGAACATCAGTCTTCAACATTCTCTTCTCCTATTGGCTAGTATTTCTAAAACGAGTGCTGGCCGTGCGCCAGCCCTCACCCAAGCCAGTTCTATTGGGCTATCTGCATGCCCCTCTCCCAGAAGCTCTCCCTATTGGCTGCTGGACTTTGCCGGTTCGAGCTGTGATTGGTCGTGAACAGAAGCCCATCCCTTGAGCAACCACCTGAGAGGGNGAATCTTAAATGTAAAAACATAGTGAACCATGTTAAATGCTTAGAATGGTGCCAGTCACATACTAAACACTCCATAAACAGACCCAATTCCAGGACCTATACAGGTGTTAGTAGTAGTATTGCTTACTCCAGCGTGAGGGTGCATTTCATCTCCAGAAGCAGCTAATCCAACACTTTGCCAAGTAACTTACAAGTTGATACCCAAAGAGGGGGCAGAGAGCTGACACAAGGTCTCCTCAGCCAGCATCTTGGCTATTAAAATCATACCCGTTCTCAAGCATCCCCACTTCCTCCACTGGGGGGTGAGGTCCCGAGGGAGATGGCTCAAGAAGGAGTTTAAGGACATGTCCCAGACTGTACTCCTTTACCCAGTGGGGAGCAAAACCATATAAACAAGGTCAGGAAGGGGTTGAGAGAAATTCCTGGGTGATGAAGTGCTGATGGGTAATAGAGATTCTAGGAGAACCCGAGGGAGAAGGGAAGACAGAGGAACAAGAGTTGTGGTGTGTAGGAAAGGACCATTTGGGACGCAGTCAGGATACATGGGCTTTCCTCACTGACTCCCTGAGCATCCTCTGTCAAATACCTGGCACCAACAGACCTGTTTCTGTAATTATGATGATACTGGTATGCTTGACCTCAGGTAGTCTAAATTACTAAGAATGTCAAGACTCCGTAAAAACAACCCTGCCCTGGATCCCTTCTAGACTGAAGGTGTGACAGAGCTTGGGGCCTGTTCAATATCCATTATCTCCTTGGTACCAACCCCCTTCCCATTTTATAGATGGCTAGCCAAGGCCTGCAGATGAAAATAATTTATCCAGAGATCCTGGGGTAATCAGGATGGAGCTCAGATTGGGATTTCTTGCATCCCAACCAAGAGTCTTCTGATCCCTGGGGGTGTTAGCTAACCCTGTGATGGGTTTACCAACTTGAACATAACTTTTTTCTGTTTAATTCACTGATGTTTTCTCGGCTCCTTTAACAGTGCCTGACACAATCAGTGCTCAATACGTATTTATCGAATGAATGGAAATGAGCATTTGGTAGAGAGGTAGTGTGCAGGCTTTCACCTGATTCTCTGAAGGGACAGTGTTCAAAAAGGCTCTGGCCCCTGCATCTCTAAGGCCCAGTAGCCTTATGGTGGTGAGACAGGATGGGAAAATTACTAGGCCTCCCAGCTCCCAGCTCCCTGTTTTCTCTCCCCACCAAAACTAAAGCACCAACTTCCTGCGTCTCAGTAACCCCCCTCCTGCAAAACCATTTTCCTCATTAAGTTCATTTTTTTCTCACTCCCCTCCTCCCTCCTTTTTCTCTCTCTGAGAGGGGTTTCCAGGAACCTCTTCTGGGAACGTCTGGGATGAGGGTGTGTGTGTGTGTGTGTGTGTGTGTGTGTGTGTGTGTAGGAGGATCTCCATATCTCATCAGGAGCTTGGAGCCTGTCACACACCCATGGGGAGGAAGGGAGGGAGGTCACCTACCAGGGGGATGAAGCCTGTCCAGAGCTGGCAGCTTCCTCCTGCTCTTCAGCTTGGTTCTAGAAGAATGGCCATTCCTGGTGACCCCGAAGGGGCAGGGTAAAGAGGGGGATACAGTCAGCTGAGGCAGGAAGCCTTGGCCACTCTGGGGCATGGGAACAGAAGCAGAGATGGGGAGGGGAAAGTGCAGGAAGGCCCAAGCGCTGACTCACCAGCTGTGTGACCCAGGCCTAGTCACACAGGCGACTGCCCTGGAATAGGGCCTGGGATCACTCCCAGAGGTCCTTCCAGCTCAGGCTTCTTGGTCACCCCTTTCCCGGGATGGGCAAGGGGTTGTGTTATACAATCGCACAAGCTCCTGTGCTTCTACCATCACGGTATTCCTCCAAAATAAATCCCAGAGCTGACCACTGTTCCAAGCTCACTCCTCCACCACCACCACCACCCACCCCAGGCCAGCCACCGGCATCTTCTGCCTGGAATACCGCAGCTGTCTGCTTACTGGGCTTCTGCCCTTACGTCCCATGTTCTGTGCCCTGCTCAGCAGCCAGCGGGATCCTACTAACATTTAAGCCAAATCACATCTCTCCTCTGCTAAAAGCCCTCTGGTGACTCCCACTTATCTCAGAGTAAAAAGCAAAATCCTCTGTGGGACTTACAAAGCCTCCAGAGATTGGTCTCTGTCCCTCGAAAGTCTCATTCCCCATTTCTCTCACCCTTCCTCTGTCTGCTCCAGCTGTACCTGTTGTACGTGCTGTCCCTCAACATGCAGGCACGCTTACTCCAGGGCTTTGCACTTGCTGTCGCCTCTGCCTGCAGTATTCTTCCCCCAACAGCCGCAAGGCTGACTTCCTTCAGGTCTTTGTTCAAATGCCACTTTCTCAGTGAACCCTCCCTAAACCTCCTTATCTAGATCAGACTCCATGTCACTCTCTGTCCTTTCAATCAGCTTTTTTCCCTGCATTACCCTTATCAATTTCAAGCATTATATTTATTTTTATTTATTCACCATGAGCCATGGGAGGGTGAGGCCTGAGCTGTCTTAGTCACCGATGGGACCCCAGCCCTGGCCAGCACAAGGCCCAGCAGAGAGTAGGTATAAACAAATCTCTGTTGAATGAATGAATAAATACCCAGGCTTGTTCAGAGCTCCCTTCCCAGGCCTGCCCTGCTCACCGCTCCTCCAGTTAGTCTGTCCCAATTGCCCTTCACTTGGTTCTGACATTTTCCCTTCCTCCTCAATCCAAACTTGGAGAATGCTGTTTATCTAGCAACGCAGAATTGCTCTGTATGCTCTTACTCTCCTAAATGAGTCGGGGCTTCCCAAGGGCAAAACGCTCGCAGTATACTCAGTAAATTTCCCCTCTGCTTTCCCCTTGAGGCACAGAATTTTACGCCCTTGTTGGAAATAATCTTCTTTTTTTTTAATCTTTACCTCTGGAAGTGAAATATTTGACTTAATTTACTTGTCCCCTCCTCTAGGAAGCCCTGGCCCCCAGACTGGGTCAGATGCCCTGTAAGCTTCCCTGTTCGAACCCTGCCCAGACTGGGTCATCACTATCCAGGGACAGGTCTGCCTCTCCCATTGGAGTGGGACCGTGTGAGGGTAGCGTCAGGCTGTCATTTGTCACCCTCTTGTCAAAGAGTAAAAAGCAAAATCCTCTGTGGGACTTACAAAGCCTCCAGAGATTGGACTCTGTCCCTCGAAAGTCTCATTCCCCATTTCTCTCACCCTTCCTCCGTCTGCTCCAGCTGTACCTGTTGTACGTGCTGTCCCTCAACATGCAGGCACGCTTACTCCAGGGCTTTGCACTTGCTGTCGCCTCTGCCTGCAGTATTCTTCCCCCAACAGCCGCAAGGCTGACTTCCTTCAGGTCTTTGTTCAAATGCCACTTTCTCAGTGAACCCTCCCTAAACCTCCTTATCTAGATCAGACTCCATGTCACTCTCTGTCCTTTCAATCAGCTTTTTTCCCTGCATTACCCTTATCAATTTCAAGCATTATATTTATTTTTATTTATTCACCATGAGCCATGGGAGGGTGAGGCCTGAGCTGTCTTAGTCACCGATGGGACCCCAGCCCTGGCCAGCACAAGGCCCAGCAGAGAGTAGGTATAAACAAATCTCTGTTGAATGAATGAATAAATACCCAGGCTTGTTCAGAGCTCCCTTCCCAGGCCTGCCCTGCTCACCGCTCCTCCAGTTAGTCTGTCCCAATTGCCCTTCACTTGGTTCTGACATTTTCCCTTCCTCCTCAATCCAAACTTGGAGAATGCTGTTTATCTAGCAACGCAGAATTGCTCTGTATGCTCTTACTCTCCTAAATGAGTCGGGGCTTCCCAAGGGCAAAACGCTCGCAGTATACTCAGTAAATTTCCCCTCTGCTTTCCCCTTGAGGCACAGAATTTTACGCCCTTGTTGGAAATAATCTTCTTTTTTTTTAATCTTTACCTCTGGAAGTGAAATATTTGACTTAATTTACTTGTCCCCTCCTCTAGGAAGCCCTGGCCCCCAGACTGGGTCAGATGCCCTGTAAGCTTCCCTGTTCGAACCCTGCCCAGACTGGGTCATCACTATCCAGGGACAGGTCTGCCTCTCCCATTGGAGTGGGACCGTGTGAGGGTAGCGTCAGGCTGTCATTTGTCACCCTCTTGTCAGTAGGCTAGGCACAGTTCAGCTGAATTGCTAGGGGGTTATGTTGGAGGATAATGGTTGACCAGTAACACACCAACCTTGCTGGTTTCCTATTTTCTTATATTAACACAGCCTTATTTACATACAGTTTACATACACCAGACCAGGAGGGAAGGCTGTGCAGGATGGGGCTTGCAGAGGTTCACTGGGCTGGCGGCAGCATCTTTAGCTGCACCTGGTCCCCCTGGGAAGGCAACGCTGCCACCCAGCCAGTTGCCATGGCCTTGGCCATGCTGTTCCTCTTGGAAGTGAGCGGGGTCTCCAGGGTGAGTGAGGCATTGGCCATCTCCTGTGGCTTGTCACTGGCCAGGAAGCGGAGCAGGTTGTGTAGGGCCTTGGCCACATCGCTGCGGGCACCCTCGTTGACAAGGCAGTAGAGGATGGGGTCCGCCACACAGTTGAGGCTGGTGAAGGCCAGTGAACTATGGTATGCTGAGAAGACACGTTCCTCAAAGCCACAGTCCCACGGACGGCCCAGGTAGACGGCACTGCGTGAGAGCAGGAGCACGTGGTAGGGCGCGAAACAGACCAGTACAATGGCGATGAGGCTGAGAGCCAGCCGCTTGATCTTGGCCTTCTCCTGGCGCTCCGTGGACACGCTGCCCCGCACAGCCCGCAGGATGCCACGGTAGGACAGCAGCATTAGGGCCCACGGGAAGAGGAAGCCCACGAAGACCCGGTAGAGGTTCATCCAGGCCACCCAGCCTTCCATGGGAAACTTCTCGAAGCAGAAGGTGTGATTGTAGCGGTCACGAAAGAGCTCGTCATGGAACAGGGGTGCCGAGTTGGCACCCAGCTCCGTGGCCCAGACCACAGAGCTCACAGCCACAGCCGTCTTGACGCGGCGCAGGCGGGCGAACCGCAGTGGGTGGGCGACAGCCAGGTAGCGATCCACTGAGATGCAGCACAGGAAGGCGATGCTGATGTAGATGTTGGTATAGAAGATAAACCCGAAGAGTTTGCAAGAGCCGGGGCCGTGGATCCAGTTGTCGTGGTGCAGAAAGTAGTCGACCCACAGCGGCAGCGTGCAGATGTACAGCAGGTCAGCGATGCTCAGGTTCATCAGGTACACACCCAGCTCGTTGCGTTGCCGCACCTGGCGGTAGGCGGCCCACAGGGCCAGGCAGTTGGTGGGCAGCCCCATGCCAATGACGAAGATGTAGAGGGATGGTGGGAAGAGGTGGTCCACGCGTGAGTCCACGTGGCAGCCCTCCCACGTGCGGTTGCCCATGCTCGGCCCTGGGGCTTTCGAGGAGCTTCCCCTGGCCCACGGGGGCTGTAGGGCCATGGGAGGCGGGAGGCCATCGGGCCCCCAGCCCCTCCTTAGAGGCTCAGGGGAACATAGTTGGACACAGTCCACAGAGAAGAGATGAGGTTAACCGTGAATCGTGGGCCAGGCTAGGCAGGGGAGGGTGGAGCTTGAGAGGGGAAAGTTGGAGGAAGGGATGAATTATGACAGGAGGGAGGTTTTGGGGATGGCAGGATTAATAAAGGGCTTTGTCGAGCGGCTGTTTATATATCCAGTCAAAGCATAAGTGAGGGATTATTGGGGTAACAAAAATTGGCTGAGGGGAGTGTTAATAAAGGGATGAGGGCGTCGGTGGACAGTGTAAGAGGGAGATATTTGTATAGGCTGTAGGGAGTGTGGCCAGGCCAAGTAACAGTGGAGTTGAATGTACTAGAAGACACACCAAATATATGGGAGAGAGTTGCAATCTGACAGAGTACAGTTAGGGGGTGTTGAAAAGAGCAGACAAGGTGGGTGGGGTGCTGGCATTTCCTAGGACCCCAATAAGAGATAAGGAAGGAAGGAAGGTACCATGAGGAGAAGACTACGGAAAAGGAGGTGTCCCACGGAGGATGGACACAGAGGAAGGGCTGAGTCTGGAGAACGTGGGAAGGTTTTTTAAGCAACAGGAAGGAGGTGAGTAAGGGTTAGATCAGGGGCAGGTCATGGTTGGAGGGGACAGTCTCCAGTTTGGTCCTGGTGGTGGCTGAGCAGTTGGGATGAGGAGACCCCACCTCACAGATCAAAGCTGACTTTGCAGTGCCTGTAGGGAGAGAGGTCTTCAATGAGGGGAGTCATGAACCGCCCCCTTCTTTTCCAACACCCCCCATCGTAACTCCTGTGGGCTATAGAGGGTGGACAGCCTCATTCTAAGCAACAGATCTCTGAAAACACAAATTTAGGGTTCCAGATATATTTTTCCCTAATAGATGTTAAATTAAAGGCCCAATTCATATTTTAGAGCTTTCTTCCAGGAACCATGTAAAACTGGCACAACTATTGTATCAAGAATTACTGGACTGGGGTAACCCTATCATTTCACAGACAGGGAAATAGAGTGCAGAGAGGCTGGGTCACTCCCCTAAAGGATGCACAGCAAGTCAATGACAGAACCAAGGCCAGGAACAGCCTCCCACTCCTAACCCAGGACATGCCATTCTTGACAATGATGACAACGGATATGAACAACTAAAGCTTATTTAGTCCTCTACATAGAAGACCCTGTCCTAAGCACCTCTGTGGGCATTAATTCATTAAATTTCCAAGAACCCTATGAACAAAGGACTGATATTCTTTCTATTTGACAAACTGAGGCACAGAGCGGTCCAGAGACCTGTCCAAGGTCCTGATGAGGAAGCGGGGGGGGGAAGTCTCCCCTCTCATCCGTTTTCTGCAGCCTGTACTTGATTCCACACAGGGATGACTGGGCAAAAAGGGGCCCTGGGCTGACAGTGAGGGCTGGAAGCCATAGCTGCAGAGGCCAGGGAGGGGGAGAAAGGAGGAGCTGCTGGACTGGATCAAGGTCAGGGAGCAAGGGGAAGCCAGGGGTCTTCCAGCAGTCTGCTCCCTTCATTGCCTCCCCCAATCCAGTGCCAGCTTTCCCAAACAGGAACCTTGGGCCTATCACTGCCTTGACCCTGGGAAGACCCGCAGTCACTGGACAAAGGACAGTGGTGGACCATGTCTCCGACCATTGGCAGCCCCAGAGAGAAAGGGAGCAAATTCCTGAATCAGCAGCATCTTGAGCAGCCACTCCATCCAAGGCTTTGCAACAGGTTGAGTTTTTTAGGCTGTGAAAGCTTTAAAAAAAAAAAGACCCACAGGATCTTAACTGGAAACCCCATCTAATACAGTGAAAAGGGGAAACTGCTCTGTGCTCTTGATGAGACTGGGGAAGAGGGCCACGCTGGAAGAGTCCCCAGGACACACTTAGAAAACGACTGGATGAGGTGATCTGACAGATGAGGAAACCAACGCCCAGAAGGGAAGTATGAGCTCAAAGCCTCCCACCCAGTCCTTGGGAACCCCCCAGATGCCTCAGCATCTTTCTATAGGAAAGTCCTCATGACTGTACCTCCACAATAAAGCCTGAATCCATGCATGTCTCTGTAAAACTCCTGCCACTGCCTGGTCTGAGCCCTGCAGTACCCTCCTCAACTGGTTTCCTGGCTGCCATTCTGGCTTCTTTCAACTCACTTCTCACAGAGCAGCCAGAAAGGTCTTTCTAACATGGAAGTCAGCTCTTGTTACTTGGCTGCTTGAAATCCTCCAATGGCTTCCCAATGGACTTGGGGTAAAATCTAAGCTTCTTGCCCCAAGTGACAAGGCGATGCCCACCCCGCTTGCTTACCTTTTCTCTCCTCTCAGCAGGCTCAAGGCCAGTGACCTTTTTTTCAGCCTCAGAACCTTTAGGCTTCCTTCAGATCTTCTTAGGACGGGCTCTCACCTCCTTCACTTCCCCAGACAGGCCACCTGCCCCCAGGGCTCTCTCCTCACATCACCTTGTATCCTGTTCCTGTCTGGCTATCTAGAATGGATGTCCCAGGAGGGTAGTAGCTTGTGTTGACTGCTGTATCCCTGGCACCCAGGACAGACCCAGCGTATGGTAGATGCTCAATGAATGACTGTGGACTGAAAGAGCACTCACTGGCCAGCCCATCCCCCAATGCAGTCTCCCTCTGCCCCTGAGCTGGCACCCCCCATCCCCCACATAACCCCCCCACCTCCATTTCAGGTTCAAACAAGTCCCTGTAGGGTCCCAGGAAAAGAGATGGGAAGGGAAAAAGTGAAAAGGGCAGGATCTATCCGCTACATAATTGACTTTGAAAGGTCAGGGCTGAGTCCTGCTTAGTAAGTCCTACCCCCTGCGGGTCCTCAGTGGCAGAGCGGGCTGCCCCAACCCCAGACACAAAGACAGAGGCTCCTGGATCCTGTGGAGATGGGACGGAGGGGGCTTGCTCCCGGCTGGAATAGTGCAACCCAGTCCCTCCTTCCGAATAGAAACCAAGTCACTCAAAACACCTCTCTCCCCTCCCTCTGCCCTCGGTCTCCTCTTCTCTCTGACCCTCCGTCTCCTCTCTCTGCCCTCAGTCTCCCCCTCCTCTTGTAACACTGAAGGAATTACTTGTTTTTCAGGAGCCTCAGTTTCCCTTGCTGTATCAAGGTGTGGCACAACTTTATACCAGTCATATCACAGATGTGAAAATCTTTGGTAGAACCAGATATCTGTAAAATGTGCAGTATTTGAACAACCATTATTATTCCATGGGCACTGGAGAGCTGAGACAAGAAACAAACCAGTTTGTAATGAGGAGAGGCACTCAGAGTAGGGAGCTTCCTTTGCCCCACCCCCTGGAGACCCTCTGGGTTCAGCTGAGGCTGGAGGGGTACACAGGAATGATGCTTCATTTGAGCAGCCAAAGGAAATACACTTCCCATTGCTAATTTCCTTGAGGGGGAACCAGTTAGGCACTCACCCCTTCCTCCGTCCCTTCTCTCCTCAAATCACCTACTTCTTGGGGATGCTGGGTACTGGGGGGTGTGCTCAGAACGCCCTTTCTCCCCCACCTGAGATCTGCCCACCCCTGAACCCCCAGAAGGCCGCAATTTGATCAGCAGACTCATAAAATTCCACAGTGCAACAGGCTTATATGCGACAACTGGAGATGTGAGGCTTTTTCTGACCCCTTCCTGGGACAGATGGGGAAACTGAGGTCCAGAACAGCGAGGCCCTGAAGCCACACGATGTCAGGAGTGGGCAGGTCTCCTGTTGTCCTCCGCTCAGGAGCTTTCCTTTCCCTGAATGTCTCCTTCCTCCCTTCCTGCACTACTTTAATTTTTCTCAAGTCTTTCTGGGCTTCTCAGCCAGCTTTGAGAATCTGCTGAAAGATACAGGAACTTTTTCACCACAGAAAAAGCAAGGGGCTTGGTGTCTTTTGTGCCCCTCTGTCACAGACTCCCTTGCCTGGCCCCCTGGGGTCCAGACCCTCTTCAGCAGAGACTGAAGTTGCCTCCCTTACTCAGCTTTGTAGGGCATCAACCCCCAAATCTCACAGCTACCACAAAAATCTCCCCCTGTCCAACAGCCACCAACTCACCTCACAGAGGGGCAGGGAAGAGATAATAAGCTCAAGTGTAGAGCAATAGTGGGGGGCAGGAAAGACTGGTCAGACCCCAGCCCCCACTTTCTGTCTCAGCTGCTCAAGCCAGATTAAGTCCCTGGGCCCCACCAGCCACCCCTAAATCCAGCAAGGCTGAAGAACTGAGGGGAATGTTCAGAGGACAACAGGAAGAGGTAATGCAGCTCCCCATAACCCCCACGTCCCTCGGCTCACTTACCGGCCTCCTCCTAGAAGCCACCAGGCCACCTCTCCCACCATCCCTCTTCAGCAGGCTCCATCTTACCCCTTGGTCTGCGGCAGCCCCCCCACCCCCCACCGCCAGGGACCAGCCAGCTCCGGTCTGCTCATTAGGGGATGAAATGTGATCACCGTGCCTCGCTCCCCACCTGGTGCCCTGGCGGCAGGCGGAAACCAGGGGGCAGTCAGGCCACCGTGACCACCTGGCTGGCCCTCAGTTTCCCTGTTTCTATGATGGGGTCTCCATCTCCCACCCCATGCCCACACCACCCAGAAGGGACACCAGGGTCCTCTTACTCTACCCTCCGACATTCTAGATTCCAATGTTCTCAAATCCTCGGGATCTATTGTTAGTCCAGTTCATGGTTTACTGTTCTATTATTATAACATTCTAGAGCTTTCCTTTCTTCTGTTCTATTATGATTTTCATAGCAGCTTTCCATACCCTTACCTTTCTAAGTTTCCAATATTCCAGGAGTCTCACATTCCAAAATTCTAAAGTTCTATTGTTAGAACTCTCTATGATGTTTTTAACATTCTATGACTTTCATAATCTATTATTAAACTCTCAGTGATTATTATCTTTGCCCAGCAAACATGAATACGTATTTCCCTTTTCCTTTTTACAGAAATGGGAACATACTCTATATTCAGTGAACCCCACTTCCTTTTTTTCCCCTTATCTATTCTGTTCTTCTAACACTGCAACAGTCTGAAGTTCTAAGATGGGGCAGAATTCTAAGATACTAAAGATGCACAGGAGCGGGGATAATTGGTCTTCACCTCCACCTAGCCCTGAAATTCTCACTGCCTGGGGGGATACTCAGAGCCTAGGCTGTCTCCCTACTCCTTGCCCAGCGGGCCTTGCCTCATCCCTCCCGGCTCACTCACACCAAATGAGTTATTATTTGTCTAGACACAAACCAAATTATAGGCCCTGTCCCAGGGGAGCAGTGGGCTTCATGGCAAGGGTCAGGAGACAGAGGCAGGCCGGAGTTAATCCCTATCCATCCCACACCCCATCTCCCTTCCTCTCCTCCCTCCTTCTCTGAAACTCCACCCCTTCCACCCAAACCAACTCTTGTCCCCTCTCCCTCCCCACCACCAGGGTCTTAGAAATATTTCTCTTCCTGGTTTCTAAAATGCTCTCTCTGGATTTCAGCCATTCATACTCACCCCGCCATTCTTCCCTCCTCGCTGTGAAGACCTCCTTTCCCATTAATCCGATTTAGCAAAAGAAGCCATTATCTCTGAATTTAGGCTTCCATTGAATTGGAGTCTCAAACCCTAGCCTGGCACCACCTGATTATGGGGACTTATACTCCTGAGCCTCAGTTTCCCTATCTGTAAAATGGCTGCTAGGCCTAGATGGCACCGCAAGCCGTTCTGAGCTCTCTGCTTCAAAGCTGAAAACTGCTAAGATTCCACCACTAATCTTTTGGGATTCAAGGATTCAAGTACCCTGAGGACCTTTGATTTGAAGGTTGGTGCAGTCTCTGTCTTCCCTCTGATCATTCGCACATCCTGCGTCTTTCCATTCAAAGATTTCACATTCAAGGATTCTGGATTCTATGATGCCCAACGTTCGGGTCCCCCTCAGACTTTCTCACCTTCTCCTATGGAAACCCCCCAAGAAAGGAAACCTCCCCATCCTCACCCCAAACCTGAAGTCGGGTTCAGAGCTGGGGGGACCCCTCTTGGTGGGTTCTGGAGGAGTGGGGCTGGTGGTGGGTCCTGGAGGGGGCGTTGAGGAGTGTGGCCCCCAACATCTCCTGTGCCAGCAAGTGAACCCCTCAGTGCACATCCCACCTGAATACACAACACACAGCCACAACCAACTGCCTCACAGAAATTCCAGAGCTCTCTTTGGCTTTCGGGGTGGGGGAGTCCAGTTCAAGGAAGGGGGGGCGGTGAGGCAAGGCAGGAAGGAGTTAATGGTGACCCAGCCAAATCCTGGAAGGGAGGAAGTGGGGGAGGAAGTCCACCCCCCAGCCAGGAATTCCTGAAATTGGAGGGTGGAGTGGGTGCGACCTTAAGAGCAAGTGGGGCACTCCGTGAAGGGGGCGCTGTGTCACTGAGTCCACCTGCCCCAGGTGGTAACCTTACTGCCCCCTATCCTACTCCCCGGCCGTCCTCAGCCCAGGGGAAAGCTCTGGGATGCGTAAGGATTTGGACTGAGATGACAACGACGAGGTGAAAGAGCCAGAACGGGGTCTAAGATACAGAGAGGCAGAGGCAGAGAAATACGGAGAGAGACGAAGGGAAAGGGCAGAGAGATGCACGGAGACAGGGAGAGCGGAGCTGGGGGCAGAGAGACCCACGGGGACTGAGAGTTCGTCAAGAGACTGAGAGAGGCAAACAGAGACAGACAAGCGCTACAAAAGAAAGAGAGACAGGGATAGATGGAGAGGCAGAGATACAGAGAGAGATACAGAGACATCCAGAGAGGTAGGTGCGACACACCCAGAGGAAGAGAGAGATCACAGACACAGAGACCTCAGAGACCGGCGGAGAGATGGAGACAGATCAAGACAGTCAGCCGCGGCGACCCAGGGAGAGCCTCCCGGAGACAGCGGGGACGGAGACGGCGGGGGAAACTGAGGCAGCCGACGTGGGGACGCAGGGCCCCAGGGGCGCGCGGAGGGACAGCGCGGGCAGGGGAGGGACGGGCGCCTACCTGCGCGCGGCGGCTGGACGGGGCGGGCGGCGCCTCTCTCCGCTTCCCCCGGGTCTGCGCTCGACGGCGGCGCAGGGACCCGGCGGCGACTCCTCCCGGCCCCCGATCCCAGCCGCCAGCCGAAGCCCCGCCCCGGCCGGGCCCGCCCCCATTAACCCCTCCTGGGTCGCTCCCCTTAACCCCTGAAAGCCTTCACCCCACTAGAGGTTTCTAGCCCCGGGGAAATTTCACCAGCTGCTGGAACACCCCAACCTTTCAAAGTCCCAGCCTGGAGGACCCCATCTTGTTAACCCCTTTGCTTATTCTCCCTCCAACCCCGCACCTGCAAGCTGATTGACCCTCCTTGAGTTGAACCATTTCCTCCCCTGAAGACCAGAGACCACAGGACCAAGACCCTAGCTTGCATATGCCTCTCCCTAAGGGATGAGAAAAGGGGGTCTGTAAAGTCCCCACTCCCAGGGGCAGGGAGACCCCTGGAAGGAGCTCAGGCTCCTGCGGTTCCAGCCCTGCCTCTTAGCCAGACCTTTAGGCTAATGACCTTTCTTTGTCTCAGTTTCCTTTTCTATCAATATGGTCACTCACAGTTCCTTTGTCAAGGGGATGTCATTTCCGAGTGCCACCCTCTCACCAGTGCCTCCAGGCCTTCCTGCTTTATTTACCTTTCCTCATAGAACTTGTTGCGACCTAACATTCTATTTTTTCACTAATTTTTTCCTAATTACCTGCTAGGAAGTTAGGAAGACAGTTATTTTTGCATATGGTTTATTTACTGTTGTATGTCTGTCGCCTAGAAGACCGCTAGGCACATGAGAGGTGCACCATAGACATTGTTTACAGGGAGTGAATACATGAAAGTTCAATACATTCAAAACCCTTTGTCAATTTTTATTATTGTCATCATGTCCTTCATAAACTGGCCATGGAACTTCATTCTTGGTCAAGGGACTTCAGACAGACCTGGCGTATAGCACTCAAAAATGACAGCTATTAGGTTTGCCGAATCTTTATTTATTTTTTTAATAAAAATGCCCGGATCTTAAGGAGACAATACAATGCGTTGTGACAAACAGATACACCCCTGTGACTAAGCACTCAGATCGAGCAGAACCTTTCCATCGCTGGAGAACTATGTTCACACTTCACTTCACCCCCAGAGGCAACTCTGTGCTTTCTTTTTCACCAGAGATTAGTGTTGCCTGTCTAGAACTTTATATAAATGAAGTAATAACGGTTTTTGTTTGTTCGTTTTAGGGTAGCTATTGTTGTAATCATTCACTGTGAGGCCTTGGACAAGTGACTTCAACTCTCTGAACCATATTAACCCCTTCCTCTTGTTACCGGACCCCCAAAGACCAGGTTCTTTAATTTCAACGTTAGAGAACTAAACACTGAACGCGAGAGAAAGAAAGCAGGTGGAGTTTATTAGAGATAGCAACATACCGACAGAAAAGCGGAATGTTGCTCTTTAAGAGGTTGAGCGTGGGGTTTATAAAGGCAGGTTCAGAGGGTGAGGGGTTTGGGAGGAGGGAGATTGATGAATTATTTTATAATGGTATCTCCATTATTCAGCTTCTCGTGGCGCCACTTCGTGGTCAGGAGACATGGACTCACTGGCTTTCCCACCATAAGGTCAAAGCTTCCTTCTTTGATGTCGCTATAGTATGAACCAGCAAAAAATTTTTTTACAAATTCTTCCTCCCTTGAGGTAATTATTGTTGCAAAAACAGGGACTGGCCACTAATTCTTGGGAGTGAGTGTATGTTCTTGATCGTTGACTGTATGGGTGGTTTATGGCTTACCCCACATTCTCCTTAAAAGACATTTTGAGAGCTTTACCTTTTAACCTTTAAGCCCCAAGATGGAAGTTAACTTAAAATGGAGTCCCTCTTGCTCTTCCCTCTGCTGGCTCAGGGCTCCTGAGGGAAACAGAAATTGAGAGTTAACTAAGGATCCAAGAGTCCTGCGATGTCCACAGGAATCAACTTTTTCCTTCCACACGAATGACCCTGCAGACATCCTATTAACTTCAAGACAACCCCACGGAGCCCTCCCTTGTCAGCCCTGTCAGCCCCTTGGCCATTCCAGGCTTCCCCTGAGGAGAAATCCTCTTCTCTCCCAGACTCACCTTAAGTTTTTGCTGTGATTCAGTCAGGGTCCTGGCAGGAAACAGGTAGCCATTCAGAGTTTAAGTGTGAGCATTTATCCAGGGACATTTTAGAGGGGTGGGCAGGGGGAAGGAACCCACAAAGTATGGGGCGGCATCGGGGAACCAACCTCAGTGAGAAAGCCAAGCCGTCACCACCCTCAAAGCAGAAAGTTAGAATTTGGGGAGGAGCCTGTAGTGCTGTAACTCTAGGTAGACGAACACAGCTCCGGTCCGGACAGCGGGGCTGCAGGGAGGAGCTGCAAAATAAATACTCTCATGTCTGTCCTACCCTTGGATTTCACGTCAGTCTCTCTGACTGGCAGAACCCAACCAGAAGGCGGAGGCAAGGGACCCTCGTGGATGGAGCCCACACAGGGCACTCTCTCAGGATCCAGAGCAGGAGGAAAGGCTGAGAGTGACCCTGGGGGGCAAGTGGAGAATCACCAGCGCTATTTCCATAGAACTTTCTAGGCACATTTCCCATGCAGGTCTAAGGCTGGGCACAAGGGGGCGATAGTGCACCAAGAGACTCAACGAAAGGGCTGCTTCAATAGCGGCGGTCACTTCTCAAGAACTTGCCTAGTGGGGAAGGGTTTTAAGGTGGGGGACAGAAGCGGAGACTTGGATCCATGAGCAGCAGAACACTGGCCTCTGAAAGCTGGGAGTCTGGAGGGTTGATATAATTTCTGGGCAGTGCTGGCTGAATAGTAGTTCTCCAAGTGGACAGGTTTAGAAAGGGTGTTCCAGCAGGGAGGGAAAAGTATGTGCAGAGTCTCAGAGGCAGGAACTGTCACAGGGAAGGTCAAATACTAGTGATTCAAATGGCTGGAGATCAGAGATGGGGACAGGACAGGACACTGGCTTAAAAAGTGAGGGATCAGAAATGACTGAAAAATAAGCACAGTTAGCATTTAAGGACCACTTACTACATTCCAGACACCATTCTAAACACTTTATGTCAACACTTCCTTTAAGGCTCAAAATAACCCAATGTGGAGGTGAGACAGGGACCATGAGCTTAGACAGAATAGGACGAGGGCCTCTGGGAAAAGCAAGGCAAGATATTTACAGTCAGAGCAATGTAACTGCATGCAAGGAAATCTCCCTACTAAAACGCTGTGTGAAGCATTAAGTTCTAAAGTCATTTTTCAGTGAGATCAGTTAATATTCCCCAGATAAAGAAGAGTAGCACATGTTTTTATTATGCTAATCATTTGTAATCATGTGCAAGATTCACCTTAGCATGCTAAAGGCCCAGGCCTATGTGCTGTCTTTCCTCCTTCAGATCTGATGAGGTGATTTGCAAACTGGGCAACTAATTTAGCATGCAGACCCAGCTGTAAACAATATAGTAAAAGCAGGAAGGATTCCACCTTAAAGATAAGACTGCATTTTAACACCCAGGGAGCTTAAGAAGTAAGATTCTTAACTTACTCCTTAGCAAACAGACAATAACTCAGCCCACCTTGGGGGCTGGGCAGCCGGCCTTGTTTGACGTGCTCCCTGATCAAGATCCCAGTATCCCAGGGAGAAATCAAAGCAGGAAATTCCTTATGTTAAATTCATTCTAAATATTCAGGGACCACTTAACAAGTCCACACCGCTAAGCCTTTATCCGTTTCCCCAAAACCCTCAACTGCCTATAAAACCTCTAGACAACACACCACTACGGGCTCTCTTGTCCCCTCCTGGCGTGAGCCAGGAGCGCTGTCTGTCCTCTCACTGCATCTCTCAATGAAAGTCTCCCTGGCTCTCCTACCTTGGGTGTTTGCTAAGTTCATTCTTCGACTCTGCAATCTTAAAAAGCCAAAATCCTTGCCCTCATGGGCAACTAATGAGTGAATGACCAACTTCCAGTCATATTAATTAAGATCCTTGGCCAGAAAGAGGAAGGGGATGGAACTCTTCGACAAGATTGAACACCCTCCTCTTGCTAGAATTTCATATTCGGCTCTGGGGGCTGTCATTTCTGAACCCTGGCATCAGAGGTACCATTTCACAGATGAGCACACTGAGGCACAGACAAGGAAGTGGAAATGCAGGAATCCCGCAATTGGACTCCAGCGTTTTAACTGCTGTTATGTCACTCCTCTGGGTGGGTAACTGGGGGTTGAGGAGTTTGAATTTCGATCCCCTTCCTATAACACATTTTCAACTACTTCACACACATAAACACATACACAGCACTCTATTATTCTAGGCACTCCCTGAGTCCCTGTGCTAGGCAGTGCTGGGGACATGGCAGTGACCACAACAGCCCTGGCCCTTCCCTCTAAGGGCAGGCAGTCAGTGAGGGGGTGACAGATCTGTCACCAACACTGACACATGGGGGATATTGGAGCCCAGAGGGCACTTTGTCAGTGTATTGGGGGAAGAGGAGGAAGGAGGGAGAAGAAAACTGTCAGAGTTTTCACTTGTAACACTCCCCTCCTTTACTTAGTTTGTTCCTTCCTCATCCTCGGTCTTCCTCTGCCCAGCCAGGGTCGTCCCTGTCTGAGGATGAGTCTGCCTCCCCCACTGGACTGCAACTCCCTGGAGGGCGGGGCTGGGGCAGTCTCACCATTGTGCCCCAGCACTGAGGAGCCCAGGCCTTCACTTAGAGTGAAATATTCCTTACATATATTGAATCAATTCATTCATTCATTCATCCATATACATATATCTGTCAAGCATTTACAGTACGTCAGACACCATGCTAGGCACTGGGGATACAATCTTAAAAAGCCAAAATCCTTGCCCTCATGGGCAACTAATGAGTGAATGACCAACTTCCGGTCATATTAATTAAGATCCTTGGCCAGAAAGAGGAAGGGGATGGAACTCTTTGACAAGATTGAACACCCTCCTCTTGCTAGAATTTCATATTCGGCTCTGGGGGCTGTCATTTCTGAACGATATTGATGTTTGAAGAGTTAGATTTTAGGGAGCTGCTCCTGAAGACACATGGACGTTCCTGCTTACTGGCCAAAGAGGGCTTAGCAGTTTTCTCCTATAATTGTTCCCTCTTTTAGGAAGGGATGGGCTTGATAAACTGTCATTGTGAAATTGCAAGGCACCGAGCTTTTCATCCCAAGAGATCATCTGCTCAGCTGAGACAAGGAAAGGAAGCTCAAGTGTGTAATGTTCTACATAATTCTTATGGATTGTCTTGTCCAGAAAAATTCGGTTTGCTACCTTATAATGTTACTAGTAGAGCAGTAGTTCTCAAAGGGAAGCCCTCACAACCTCAGTATTATCTGGGAACTCTTTGGAAATGTAAATACTTGGGTCCCACCACAGACTCATTAAATTAGGATGAGGCTACATTTTCATTATAACAAGCCCTGCAGGTGATTTTACTGCTCCTTCAAGTCTGAGAACTACTGAATGATAGAGTAGGAGAAAAGGAGAAGGAGGTGGAGGGAAAAGAATAAAACTCTAAGCACCTCAAACATTAAAAAAAAAAGGGTAATTAGATAGAATCACTATGAATTATCTTGGCTGTAAAAGATGAGGAAATCAGAACAACTCAATTTCCACCCCCAACTTTGTACATTCACAGTTGATACTCAGCTGATTCATACTGCTAGGCCTGTATCCATTGTTAAAATATTGAAATAGCCTCATACCAGGCAATAAACAGTCACTAACAGGAACAAAGTCTTATCCTCTTCGTCCTAAGGCAATAGCTGGGGCTGCAAAACTTGATGCTTCTGCTGAGCTAGTTCTAGATGCCCTGCTTGACCTCACGATTCCTCACGCAGTACAGACATTGCTACTGACTACAAACAATGCTTTCAGCCTGCCAGTCAACCTCCTCTGAGATTCTGTTACACTCTCCCCCTATTTTTATTCGTTGCTGTCACACCCTGAATCCTGCCACTCCTCTGGCCCCACTGAGAAAGGAACCTTGCTGTTTACCTCAATTGGGGAACTTTATTCACCTTGCTCAGATTTATTAGAGACTCTCGCTGAGAACCCTGACGGATTATCCCTTCACTGATGGATCATACCTGTGTTGGTTAATTTTATGTCAACTTGACTGGGCCATGAGCTGCCCAGATATTTGATTAGCATTATTCTGAGTGTTCCTGTGAGGGTGTTTTTGGATGAGATTAATATTTAAATCAGGAGGTTCTATATTGCTCTCCTCAGCATGGGTGGGCCTTATCCAATCAGTTGAAGACGTGAGGCGGACAAAAGGGCTGAACTTCCCCGAAGAGAGAAATCCTTCTGCCTGGCGGCCCTCAAACTAGATCATTGGTTTTTCCCTGCCTTTGGACTTGAACTGAAACATTGGATCTTCCTGGGTCCCAAGTCTGCCAGCCTTCAAACTAGAATTATACCATTAGATCTCTTGGTCTCCAGCTTGCCAGCTCACCTTGCAGATCTCAGGACTTGTCACTCTCGGTAAGTGTAAGCTGATTCTTTATACTAAACATCTGTTTCTATACACACACACGCGCGCGCACACACACACACACACATACACACACACACATCCTATTAGTTCTGTCCAGATAGCAGAACTTATTGCACTTACTAGGGCTTGGCAACTAGATGAAGACAGACAGCAAAGAATAGGAATGCTTTGGAAATATTTTGAAAACAAAAGGGAGTTTCTAATCTCTACTGGAGTTTCTAACCTCTCATAGCCTCTTGTCCCTTAAAAAAAAAAAAATCGACCTGATAAAATTGCATTGAACTACACACACACAAGTGCATGTAAAATTGATGAAATCAGAATACGGTCTGTAGATTTACCAGTGTCAATCTCCTAGTTTGGATATGTACTGCAGTTATAGAAGGTGTTACCACTGGGAGAAATTCGATGAAGGATACCAGGGACCTCTCTGTACCACTTCGGCAACTTCATCTGGATTTATAATTATTTCAAAATGTTTAAATAAAACCACACACATCAACTACACTTAAACACAGATATACATGCAAGTTCCTCGGAAAGTTAAACGTAGAATTAACATATGGTTCAGCAATTCCACTCCTAGTATATACTCACGAGAAATGAAAACATTCATGTACATGAATGTTTATAGCAGCATTATCTACAGTAGCAAAATCTGGACGCAACCCAAAAATTCATCAGTAGACAAGTGGATAACACTGAACCACGAGTGATAATTAATGGTTGTGTTTAAGCCATTAACTTTTGGGATGTTTCATTCTGTAGTCACAGATAATGGGAAAAGAGATCTTCAAACTCCCACAAACATCGTTGAGCCTTCCCACCAGGATGTCACCCACATTGATACGAATATGCCAAGGTTGCTGGTAACCTCCATGCCTGCTCACACGTTTTCCCACCGCCTTTCCCTAGGGGGAACTTACCGCCACCTCCACCCTCCACCCCTTTACCGGCCCCGCACGCACTGTGCGAGGTTTGAGCCGGGATCAGTCCTAGAGCTGGAACACTAACCCCTTCCTAACCCTAAGGGTGGACACGTGACTCAAGGCTGGCCAAT